GTGATACGACTGTTCGAGGAACGATTTGGCTCGCTGATATTTCTGAGAGAATTTAATCGGCTCGCAATATTTTTGTTAACCAGTTCCATGGACTTATAGAGTACAAGCCCAATACGCGGGTAATTCCCTTGATATAACGGCAATTAGTAGCTTTCAACATTTAATCGGATCGCGTTGCTTTTGACGTCGTGAGCCACTGGTTCTCCACCTGTATCTGGATCGATTGGAATTTGAAATAATTGGCATGAAGCGAAACGATCATCTCATTATGGCACTTGAACTTCTGATGGTAGTGGGAATATTACCGCTAAGTTACGTTGACACACAGGATTAACTGTAATTATGCATTCAGTGGATAATATAATGATGTTACTTACCATCCGTCTGCTCGCGTCAGGGTAAATCCAAATCGTGAATGTTTGTCGACTGAAACTCGTATTCCTACTATTCCAAGCCCCTGCTCCGTAACAACTTGGCCCCGCATCACGGCTACTCGGCTGTTACAAAATTAAGATGTAGCATCGTAGTCCAGAAAATATATGAATTTGTGATTTTTTAAATATTAATTTTGCATTTGCCAACATCGAGCTTCTATTACTTAATATTTTATTAGCAAAGTTTACGTGGCTGAGGGGGTGGTTGGATGACGAATGCCGATTCGACTCGTACATTTTTTTTTTTTTCGAATTAAAGCAAGTGAAAAATGTTGATGGTACAAATTGTTAGGGAGCCACTTGAAATTTCTAATGATGCACTTGTGATCTCGTTATCAAGTTTATTAAGTTTCGACTGAGGATGCTGGAGTGAAGGGGCACCTTCCTCCTCTGGTTCACTATTGGGAGGTTTTTTCTTGTGTTATAGGGCACGCCAGTGGTGAAGTGAGAGTTTACTTTTTTAATCAGGCGAAGGAGAAAGCAGGAAATATTGAAAATTATTTCGTCATTCGCGGACGATCATGAAATGCACGCGGAGAATCGGCATTCTTTGTCAGGTGGATTTTTACTGATTCGATTTAATATTCTCACAGCAAGTCGGTATACTGATGATAGAGTTGAGTTGAAATAAGTGGATTAATCTCATTAGAGATGGAGTTAATAATCCACGAGCGGTTTAATTGGTAGTGGAAATGTCGCGTGTTCGATCAGACTCGAGGCTAGAGTAGGGGAACAAATTCATTTTGCAAATGAAGAGAATGAAAATGCGCGGTGATGCTGCCGTCAGAAATATCTGGATACATTTTTATCTAGAATTTTCTCTGGTGGAAAATTCCTATCGTCCCTGGCGCTGTTCGCAGGGGAAATACACGAGCTGAGGGGAATTTTCGTTGTGCCAACCAGTCGGTGAGAATATTCAATCGTATGAATTATAAAATTTTTCATCCCGAGGGCATGAGGAAGGCTCGGGTTATTTCGAGAGGTGAGAGGGTCGGGGGTGAGTTTGAGTTCCATGAAGTCGAATTTGCATGCATATATATTATGTAGGTACGTATATAAATGTTAAAATTTTTTATGTAATGAAAAAAAAAAGTATGTTCTCATAGGGATTGGATCACTGGCGAATGAAATTGGAATGTTCATATAAAAGCATTGGAATAATTTAAGCAATCATTTATGTGTGTGCTGAATATAATGAAAATTAAGGTAAATATAGGCAGTAATAAATGGACAGATATATATTGCGGTTGTAGAGTTTGTTATATATGATATGCAAGTAAATAAATTGGTGGATGAATGTAATTCATGGTGCAACCGTATATATTGATTCATCAAAAAAATATAACCCAAGTAAAGTATGCATATTATGGAAAATAAAAATATGAAAAATGAAAATGTGAGGACAAATATGGAAACAATAAAATGAGAGAATCAGTTAACGAATATCCCGAGCTCGTGGAATATTTGTTCTGTTGCATACATAACAAGCTATACAAACATTATGCATTTATATGTAGAAATATATATATAATATATAGTATCCTCGAATATCCATGGCCCCTAAGGGGCTTGATAAAAAAAAGGGGTTTGTGGGGGAGATATTGGTGTTCTTGGAGGATCGCTCTCCCCACTAGTTGATCTTCGCATTCAGTAACAGTCATTCTAATGATCATCAAGGAATTCAATGGCTCTTTTTTCGCTTTTTACGTCATTGCACTGTGCTCCAATTGCTTTTGAATCAATGAAACTTGGGGATCGAACAGACCGGGGGCGATGATCCTCCAAGTACGAGCACAGCAAAGTGGCAGGCACTGTCTTCAACTACTTTTAATCATAATCTCAAACCATAACGAATCAATCGTAAATAAAGAAAAAATAAATAAACAACTCATAATTAGTATTTAAACACATTGAGATTATCATATTATTTTTATGTGGAAAAGACACCAACCTAGAATAAAACTTTGAAACGAAAATAAACAGTGTCTCTCATAACTATAAATGTGACGTTTTTTTTTCTCGTTATGTGCTACTTTTTATCTCTGTTTCAGCCGTTTCTATTCTTTGTTCTGGTTTCATTAACGAACGCGACGTATGTCATCAGCAATTTGGCAAAAAAATAATTTTATTATTGCCGATAATTACGCGCAACATGCTTCGTTAGAGTACGCATTTTTTTTTTCATCTATTGCTTTCATTATTAAATTTTCCCACTCGCTTATTTTCATCCCTGAGGCATTTCAACTTTGTTTTTCAAGGATGAAAATGAAGGCTGAATAAAAGTCATTTATCGGCATGCTTATTCCATTATGCGGAGTTACTTCAAGCAGAGAAAATTGGTGCTCCGTTTTTGTTTGTTTTTTTTTTTCTTTTTGCAATTTATCTTTTAGATCTGGTATTTGCATCGAATTAGAGGTAATTCTTGGAATTTCGCTCTCCGTTAATTTCCAATGAGATATGGGTAATTTATCGGGTAATTGGGGTATTTGGGTAATTTGGTGTTATCAGTTTATTTTTTTTTTTTCTTTGATTTTTGAGATCGGTTTTGTTTCGGACTGGAATAGACATGGGAGAGACAGACACAGGGTTTTGTTTTGTTTTTGGTTGAGTCGTTGATTTGAGTGGAGAGGGTTAATTGGCACATTATAGACGGTGATACAGACGTAGACAAGGGAGAAGGATTGAAGGTGAATCAGGGTTGTATGTATTTCTTTTTTTTTCATTTTTTTCCTCCTTTCTCTCCGAAAATACTTGACATCGACTAGTATTTTTTCAATGCACTTTACTGCCGACTCGTTGAATTTTTATAAAAAACTTGTCCATTCGTTTTTATCAATAATTTGGTACAGACTGACTTGCGGTGGCATAATAATCGTGTATATCATTACCAACGAAACAAACGGAAAATTGAATAGATCTGAGTGTTATTTGGCGCGCAATACAATGATATCAGCGGTGTGTAATTAAATAAATCATTGAATGCTAAATAAAAGAGGATTTTCACTATAGACAAGGTATCATGAGGTATTATTACACAGAATTACAAGCCTCGCAACATAAAACAGACAAGACTAAGGATTCTCTTTCTCTTAATTTCATAATTTCTGGTTTTCTCATAAGTGGTCTGGTACGAACATGACTAATAGGACTAAGACGCACTAAGAGGACAAGAAGACAAGACATAACAAAATAATAATAACAAAGTAGAAACAACAATCTGACGACATATCACAGATAGACACAGAGAAACAGCTCGTACAAATATCGTAATGAATGTGTACGCGTGAGGGGGCCCGCAGCTCCGGCCACGTTCATTATTCCAAATTAATCCTTTTTTCCTTTCAACTTGAATGAACAAATTGAGTGGATGTGATATCATCGAATGGAGAAATAAGGGTAAATGCTTCGGTGAATAAATCAAATGACTGCTACTTTAATTGTTCAATCGAAATTTCTGTGAATCTCGTGAGTGACATGACAACACGGACGGAGCCTCGGGGACCCGTGATGGACCGAGAGCGAAATTAAATTGAAATTGTGAAAATAACAAGCGCTCCAGATTGGCAACATAACAGTAATGAATTTTTGCAAACCGATTCAATGGAAATTATATTAAAAAAAAAACAGTAACAGAATAAATAGAGCAAGAGCAATCGTATTTTCAAACAAAAAATTTATCAATCTGAGAGAGTCAACTGAGGATATGAAAATGAATAAATAAAGAGGCAGGCCAAAAGAATGATTGAGCCATTACGAAAAAACATGTAAGATGAAGTTTTAACGAGCGACGATGCAAGTAGATGAATGAACATGAACGTAAAATGATTTTGCATTTCTCAAATGATTCGTTCTCATTTTTTTTTTTCAAAGATTTTCTTTTTTTTTTTGTTCTTTTAGCGAGAGCTGAGCTGCAACTTACCACGGTGTAAAGGAACTCCAGAACGCACTACGTGTGGGAAAAAACCAACGAGAAGAAAGGGCGTTACCACGGTCACAGAACCCGCTTGCGCGGACAAAAAAAAAATATACGATGCTCGTCCACAACATTGCACGCGCAGAAAAATAAATGTTTATTTGCATAATTGTCATTTTACCCTAATCGAGAGAATCAATGAATCAATTGAAACAATGACTTGAGCTCTTTGGACTTCACCCGAACACAATGGAATTCAGAACAATATCATCAATTTTTCCAATCTCCAGTAATTTTTCTAGTCTATCCCTTTCTCATTTCCTATTTTCAATTTATATTTATATCAAATTATTCTCCCGCGCTGCAATGTTCTGCACGTCATTACAGAAACAATAGACGTAGACACACTAATCAAGCGTACTCACTGTACACCTCACTCACTCCCTTCACACCCATTCACACATACAAATAAATTCACACACCCCATCACTTAATACGTCCAAACACTCAATCATTCAAACACACGAAAATCGTTTGCTTGATTCACCCGCCAAATTCATCCCAATCAGTCACATAAACGCACACTCACTCGTTTCCATCATCCATTCAACATAGAGTGGTTACATAATGACAGACACAAGTTGGAAACTACGCAACATACAATGAAAGTAGCTAGGCGCCATCTTTTCTTGTCAAATAACAACAGAACGATAAAAAAATAATCAAACCGACAATTTCAATAATCATAATCGACAACAGATACTTCCCGTCAGACTCTGAATAAGTTGACCCCCCCCCCCAATATCATCAAACTCCCTCAGACCGTCATCATATGAAGACGAAAAATAAACATACCAGAGACAAAAGAAAAAAAAAACCAAACGAAGAAGCGATACTGAAGCACCATGAGCTCAATCGATCGTCTCCACTCAATGGTCTGACTAAAGCCTACTCTACTACTTCCTCCATTCACCAAAAATTATTCCCATGTCCGCTTCACCCTCTCTTATTTCAAATATCCCCTTCTTGCGACACACGGGATAATCCCAACGTGTGAATTGAATTTAACGATAACGACGTTGTTACATTTACAATTCCACCCGAGGTATTCAACTTGAGTCGTACGCGAAAAAAAAAACGTCCCACCCCACCCCATTTACCCCATTTTCAATTTACATGGAACCACGACAATTGAAAAGTTCCATGCATCTGTAAGTGGGTTTTCAAGTGTAACGTCAAGCGCAATGGTACTTTGCAAAGCCCCAAGAATATACAGAATATTTCTTTATTTATATTTTCCTCTAACTGTTGAATTAAAATTTCAAATCCCGAGAGAAAGTTTCCACGCCCGAGTTTACCTTCATACATTGAATTCGATTTAAATGCACCAACATCGTCAATTGATTCTGACATTTCAATTGGCTCGAACATAATCGAGAAGAATAAATGTGAGAATTGAAAAAATGAGTAAGATAAATAAATAAAGTATGCGCGAATGATGAGAGACCGGGGGATATGACCGGGATTGACCCAGCAGTTGAATCGATTCGACTAGACGCAGTCCGATGACGATAACACGACGTGTTGACAAATAGAATGCGTCGAGGCTGTCTTTTACCCAGGGAAACAACGTAAACGATCAATATATACAAAACGACTGTACATAGCTGTTGTTAGTACAACTACTGGGCTTCTGTATCGCTCCCTCATTTTATTTCATATTGTTCTCTCTGCGGACTACGAACACCATGTAGAGATAATGCACATTGATATACTCAAGTATATAATATTCATGGATAATATGTATAAATTTCTTGATCATATACGCAGCGGACAGATAGATGTACGACACTATACAAAAACAATAAATAATGATAGACCGGTTAATTTCAAACTTGTGTCTACCATGTTAGAAGTACTCGTTTGGATAGATTGCGGACCTGACAAATCAACCAAAATACGTATCATTAAACATTTGTTACTTTTATATGACTGATACCAGTGAATTTCAGTCCAACCGGTGGCTATATTTTCATTAATCACAGTTGAATGGTTGATGTGTGTGCTCTGCCTCCAATCCAGCTAATTTACCATGAAATATCCTTTCGGTATTTGCCCGAGCATCTATCATGGGCAATTGAAAATTGAATGTGCACATAGGAATGCTTAGGCGTTTTCATCTATTTATCTCTTTATCTCTTTATCACTTATATTATTTTAAATTCTTCCAATAGTCTATTTTACTGATCAGCTAGTGTTGAAAAATTAACGCGAAAGCAAATGCCTCGTGAGTTTGGTTACTCTAATACGAAATTATTACTGCAATTTTATCTTCTGTTCAATATTTTTTTTTTCCTCTTTCGTTTGTCATTTCTATTATTTTTTCTCTGTACGTAACACTGAGCCATAACACGGCTGGTGGGTGAATGGTGGCTTGGTGATGGTAGGGTACACACATAGGGTCAACACTAGACAAATTACACGAATCCCCCGAACGCAGGAGGCAAAGAGTACAAGTGACCGACGGTGGGATGATGAAAAAAACGAAAAAAACTGATACAATGAGAACGAGAAAAAAAATATATATATCCCACCGGCGTTAAGTTTTTTTGCCACCTCGTGGACCAGTGCCGAAAGTAAAGAACCGTCTCCCTCGAATCATGGTTCCTCTTTTCTCTTTGTTCAACTTCTCATTCTCTCTCAATTTTCTGATCTTTTTTTTTCTTCCTCTTCGGGCTTTCACCCTCATTACTCACCCTTGAACTTGAAAATCACCAGGTTTACTCGTATGTGTCAGTGTGTGGTGAGAGGAGCCTCATTTTCGTCGTTGACAAAAAAAAAAAAGTAGTTTTCACATACGTGTAATTCTCCCCCTTTTTCCATTAGTTCATTCCACCCGTCTCCTTTCTATTTTCTCTTTCAAGTATTTTCTTTTTTTTTCTGTCATCAAACAAGAATGTACCATCAAAATCGAATTTGACTTTGATTGTCGTCTTCCGACTCGATTCTTCAGTTCCACAAAAGACAGTGGACACAAAGAAACGAGACGTGAAACGCTCTAGTCGAAAGGTAAAAATAAAGTACATAGAGCCCAGAAAATGACCAGAGACGAGATAGGTCCTTTGCTCGGGGCAGTGTTACCGAGGGTCAACGTCGATGCACCTGCCATTCGGGGGAGGAAGGGGTTCTGGTTATATCTCGGGAATAGGTAAAAAACACTGGGAATGGGATGATTTTTGAAGGGGGAGTAGTGGACAAAAAGGGGTTGGGGGTTTGAGATTTTTATTTTAAAATGTCACCACTGTCACTGACGATGTGGACCTCTGAGTAGTGGTGAGGGGTGTGTCAATTCGACATATCAAAAAATTTATCAAATTAAAATTCAACCGAATGAACGTCGTTGTCACCTGACTGTCACACTCACAACGGTTATTTCTCTCAAAACCATGTGTTTCATTTTATTTTCTATCCGCGTCACAATGAGAATCAGATTTTTCCCTCTCCACCCCCATGCACATAGAATTTTATTATCTCCACTCGTTTCTTCTATTCTCACTCGAGGCATTTTTCACTTTACCTTTTTCTACGAAACTCAAGAGCTTAGAGATATTGGCGCGCGGACGGATTCCGATTATCAAAGAGAATCCCCTTCAACTATCCCCCCCCCCTCCCTCCCCCCTCTTCCCCCCTTTTTTCGTACTCACGGATTAATTCAATCGCTGTGGCAATTCGATCCTCGTATCTTCGGATGAATGCATGAGCGACGAAGAGAGGCTATTGGCTAATATCGGAGAATGAAAAAGCTCCTCGTATTTGGTTCGTGAGATTTCCTGTTTACTCGATACCCAATTTTATCAGTCAGGAATTCAATGCCACATAGAGGTCCTGTAATGCTCTCGCAATTCCTATCGCTACCTTTGGTGGAATCAATTCTAATTTCGAATAAAAAACTTGGAGTATTATTTTGCGAGTTATTTCCATTTCTCTTTTACCCCATCGACTGAGCCCTCATTTTCCCACCCGGAGATAATGAACGATGAAAATTTCATATTTAATATTCTTTTTGTCTAAAAAAATGTCCTTTCTATTTCTCGTCCCTCGTCCCTCGTTCCTCGTCGTTCATCCCATTGTGAGCGCTTTGAGTCAGGCACAAACGACGATATTATTTGATTATCTCGTTAATATCACATGAATTATCAGTCATTATTCCTCATAAAACGTCGCGTGCTTCGAACATTTAACTGTTCCAAACTCGTTTTAGCAACATAAACGCGTGGTTTTAACTCTCCAAAGAAACATTTCAAGGGATTGGGTTAGGCTTGAAGGAGAACTACATAAATTCTCCCCGAATTAAAACCGTCAACTCCTAGGGCACTAGATATGTCTGAGCATAGCAATATTACCTATGTAATCCCTCGATAAAAAAGCTTCTCATTATAAATCATTTTTCCTACTTATTCCTTTACTCGTGTTATCACTTTTAATTTGAATTAATGTGGATTCGATCCTACCTTTCGCCGTACTCGTCTGTGTGGGCGTAACTCTGCACACTGTTCTCCTCGATGAGGAACTTGACGCGCTGATAAAATGACGCAGTGACACTAGGGGGTTGTTTACGAAAGAGCACCTCAACAGGATCACTGCTCACCAGACACATGAGGTGTTTGCCACACGATGGGTGCAAGCAACACTCACTATCGAAGCAATCCACCATACCATCTACAAATTCAATCAAACTCTAGATAATCACGCCAAAGAAATTAATTTCTTAAATAACAATTACATTGGATTACACTAGGTGAATTCGTCTCCCAATTCGAATGGATGCAATTACCCTCGCCGCATGCTCGCTGCGATTGTAAACTGAATTTTTTCATATCAAATTTGAATACGAGATAAATTTATTTTTCGACCTCATTTTGCGCAATGCAATTATTCACCGAACAATACAATGGATTATTTACATCTTGTAGTCAGGAGGTAATAGAGTGGAGAAACCGAAAGATACGCGAATTTAAAATTGTATTAAAAATTAATTAATGCCAGATTGAAATTATCCATGTCGTTTGAAAATGGAAAATTCATTCGTTTGCAAAATTCTGGGTATCCACTGCAGGCCCTACGAATGAAAATCATTCCCTGAATAATATTCTCTCACTAATAAATGATTAACTTGTCCCCTCAATTTCAATTGATTATATTTTAATTCCTCGAATTGTTATACCCATTCAATTTGATGCAAACACTCTCAGTTGTCTCCATTAGCTTTTGAATGAGAATGAAGTTGAATCAGCAATGTAAACATCAACAAATTCTCTCAATCCAAATAAATATCAGTACTGGCTGTAATGAAACCGCTGTAACAAATGAATATACCATTGTCATTATCAAGCTGATCACTGCAGTTCATCTCAAGTCCAATACTGCAGTCCCTGCCCGCCCATCCAGTGGCACAAGCGCACTTCCACTCGCCATCATGAAGTGTACACAGTCCATGTCTACTGCAACCATTCTCGCAACCAGCTGGAAATATGACATTACAAAAATTGTCATTCAATTCGACATTCCGACCCAAAAATGTTTTTTTTTCTATCTACATCATCAGAAAAATGATTAAATCTGTTGCATCTCTGAGTACATACGAAAGTGCATAATCAAAATAAAATGCAAATGAGAATAATAATGATTAAATAATAAACGATGAATTCTCGAGAAATCCCTAAATCAAATTCATTTGGGAGAAATTAAATGGAAGAAGAAGATTCCTGAGATTCACGAGAATAAATGACAAATGGCAATTTGAAAAAAAAAACGAATTAATTTGTTTTGATATGATGAACAGAAAAAGCGCCATCATGAGGAAATGAAAAATTCATGACTGTGAGAGAATTGAAAATCCAGCGCATTCCTTAAACATCAACTTCACGCGACCGAATGATGAATGATTAATGCTCGGTAGTCAGGCGATTTCTATACATTGTGAAACATGTTCCCTAAGCTTCTGCGAATCCCTCAGTTTATTAGTTAACGCAGAAACAGCTTATGTTTTTAGGTGGTTCCTATGGATATTTTGCAGAAAATAATAATAATAAAAAAAAAGAAAAGTAGACAGTGCGGAAAGTAGGTAGAACATCTTTAATGCTTGGTAATTCAATTGACATTTGGAAGTTTATAGAACTGTAGAATTTACTGACTCAGGGTACAATGACGTCCATTCCAGCCTTGGCTGCAGACGCAAGTGCCGTTTTTGCACTGTCCATGTTCAGCACAGCGGGAATCGCACGGTTTCTGATCGCATTTGCTGCCCGTCCAACCGTCGTGGCATCTGAGAAAGATTAAAACGTTGATGCAAATCATGAAATAACAATGAAGCCCATTGGATTACTTCGCCGAAGTCAAGAGACTCGTCTGGTTCTACTTATCTGATAAGATCTGAAGAGGAAGGACTAAAAAAAAAGTCCAACGACTCGAGGGGAGAGAGAAATGAAAGAGAGATGGGAAAAGGGGTTTATCATAAAATATTTAGAAAATATTGATACTCACTTGCATTGTCCCTGTTCGCAGGAGCCATGTGGTCCACATTGAAGTGCACACCTGGGCTGAGAGCAGTCGACACCCGTCCAATGCTCGTCGCATATACAACCAGCTGTGTCCAAATCATAAGAGCCATGTTCTGAACATCCTGGAAGACACTTGTATACTCTTTGATCCACCTGATCACATCTCTCCCCTTGCCAGCCTGCCTTGCAGTAACATTTACCGGCGACGCAGGCACCGTGCGCACTGCAGGACGGATCTCGACAATCGGCTGGAGAAAATTAAGACATTTTGGCTGAATTACCGAGCAACGACACGAGACAAAGTTTCTATGGCTCACAGTTTATCAAGAAAGACGTTGAACATCTTCCTCTATTTTCATTACGTCAACAGCAACTTTCCCAGCTGAAACTTGAAGTAGATGAAACGCTGTTTCGAATTAACATGGCGCATACGAGAGTAGAAAACTCGGGGACATAAAAATTAAAATTGCCATTTGAAAATAGGTTACATCTGCAAGAAGCTGAGCCACAAGAACCTATTCCATCGGATTGTGGAGGTTTTCATATAGTTAGATAACTGGAAAAGTTGCTGTCACGGCTGAGTATTCGTACTGGAGAGACGTTGGAGCGGTGCTCATGCTGATTACAGAGAGGTCTCGAGTCGAATGAATGGGCCAACTTTTTAAATTATGACTCAACCACAAACCTAAGTGCTTTCTCTCTCTAACGCGTAGCTTCTAAATCTGGGAGTGACATGAATTAAACTTATTATCAAAGTATCTCTTTGCTGTGGTTGAAGGGGCCTCGGTAGACAATTTTCCTCTATCCTCGTCTCCGAGCCATTAATTTCTCGTCATTGTCACGAATTTAGAGTGCACGATCGATAGAGAAACTCCAGTGCGGCAACAATTTTCGGGGTCATGAGAGCAGCAAAAAGTCACTGGGGGTTACATGCGAGAAATAGTGATACGTCTGAGGACAATTTACGGAATATTTATGGTAATTTAAGGTGGAAAATCCTGGATATCCATGTTATGTAGCCATATGTAAATTCAACGTACCAGCAAAAGCCCTCTCCACTTGCCCCTAAGCATTAATTATAGGTATCATGTTGTACAGAGACACCAGTGTGTTACAGCAACAGTGAATATGCTTGTGTTTGCTGTTCGCCTTTTACTCCTAATATCTTTGAATCTACGCGCGCTCTTTTCTCGAGAAATCTCAGTAAGAGGGAGAAAGATGGAGATGCTGGGACAGGAGGTACGCTTGAATTATAGGATAATTAATGGTGTCTCGGGGCAAATTATGGCTGTATCATATCCGCTGCAGGAATAGATCTCACACCGACGCAAACTCAAATAAAAGCCCATCGAAGGCCCATCAATCTCGTCAATTCAATACCCAGGGACACTATCCGTCGGAAAACAAAAACAAACAGAAAAAAGGGAATTCCTTTAATTAACCGAGAGCCTCATTCATTCTCATTTTTTTTCTTTCGCCTCTCTTTCATCACCCACCAAACCTTGCCGAAAATAGAAAATCCCGTGAATGTAACTCACGTTCTTCACAGAACTGTCCCTTCCATCCGGGGTTACAGACACAAGAGCCCCTCACGCACTGTCCGTGCTGATTGCAATCGGGGACTTGGCAATCACCAAGCGGAATATCGCACTCGGCACCCTTCCAGCCTTCCTCACAGTGACAGACACCACCGCCATACTGTCCGTGGGATGAACAGAGCACCGGACAGACACTTTTACTGCAATCGGCGCCCTGTGGTGTGCAACAACACACGAAAAAAAAAAAACAGCAAAGAAATTAAATAAAAAGGAAATTTCAGTCAGGAAAATCAATGTTTCAATCGAATTCAAGTGCCTCAAGACCTCCACCAATTTCTGATTCATATCTACGATTTGTTTCCCGAGGGAATAAACAGTTGGAGAAATTGGGAGAAAGTATGGGAGTATGAAATGGTGAAATTACTGACCTGATAGCCATCCATGCAGTCGCATTTGCCCAAGTAACACGATCCCCTTCCAGAGCAGTCGTTCGGACAAGTTGTAGACACGCCCTCAGCTTCAGTGATAATTAGGGTAACTTTGTACGGCTGAAGTTCGTCATTATAAACCGACAGGAACCATCTACCAGTATCGAGGTACTGAAGCAGGCTAACATTAACCAACATTGGTTCGTGTATCGTTCTCTTGAGTAGCACATGCTCATATACTGTGCCATCATTATCATGATTTACATCAATATCCTCAGTATGCAGTACTGACTCCTCCATGAAGCTAACAGCCCCGGGTACAACTTCACGTTTCAATCTCTGATCTACCCTGCCACCTCGGACAAATTTCACGAAGTCATACTGTGTTACACTCGGTGCAACATTTCGTCTACCATATACAGCAAAGTTGGCACCCCAGGGTAACGTAAGATTGAGCCTTATGAAGGCCGGCTGCTTGTTATGAAATTCGGAATTCCAGAAGCGATATGCCGGTATAACAACTGAATGTGCCACATTGTATGCCTGTAACTCGAGCACAGCGGGCCATTGAGATGATTGCTGGATCTGGGGGTCACTCTGTTGCTCACTGCTGTCAGATGCACTTGGGTGTTCCGCTGTACTCGTTGGTAGTGATTCTGCAATACGAGAATCAGCATGAGATTTTATCTTTTATTCCCAGGGATTGCATTTATTCCGGATGTCACAAGCATCAACAATGCGGAAGTGCACTCCCTCGCCCATTCCATATTTTTGCAAAATTTAAATTTATCGTGAAATAATAATGCTCCTATTTTTATTTGAATCGAGATAAAGAGAAACTTTCGTCCTTATCGTGATTCAAATGCTGGCAATCTATGAATAAATTGTAGATAATTGTGAATTAATATAGACCTACCTTCGGTTGGTACCTGAGTGGATATAGGATCATGAACATTTGTGTTTTCGTGGGTAACGGGCCTCACGTCTTGGTCCAGGATGCAGTTAGTGTTGTCAATCGGCCGCATTGAGCTAACGGCTGTAAATATAAATAAATGATTGAAGAGGGAATAGTTATCTCGTTGGAAGATCTTCGGGGGCATCTGTCTAGACGATCTCACACGATTTATTTTAACTTGCTAAGAATACATGAATATTCAGTCCTCAGGTGATGACGATGCTATTGGGTGGTTCGAAAAGCATGCATTAAGAAAATTATCACTGGCTTATGGCACCCAATGGATTAATTCCCCTTTGGAGATTAAGAGATCAAACCGGATGCTCCACGCGGTATAGAATTTCCGTGTTTCTCCGATGAGTGGAGAGACAAATGACGCATCCGAGGATATAAGTGTTAAATGACGAGACGTGGATAACCGAGGAGATTAGTCCTTATACTGATGGTTTGTGACGTGAAAGAGTGTCTCTTCCGCTCTAAAGCGTGTCTAGAGTTGTCAGCCCCTATTCCCTCTCGGCTCTAAGCAAAGCCCTCGAATGAAAAAAATTATTTGGACTTGACACTTTAGTCAATCGAAAAACCAATCGTTCAAACCTAAAAGAGAAGGGCATTGTGTACAGTATCGTTTGTCGCCCAATTCTGAAGAGTGGAAAAAGCGTCCGGGTAAAATAAAAATAAAAAAAAATCGCCCCACTGTACTCGTGAATTTCACGAAGCGTACAGTTAGCGAAATAAAGCTACACATTTCAGCCGACGCGTGAGGACCGGACTGTTTCAATTATTCCCCGCTGTACCATTCGGAAAATTTTTATGCGATAAAATTGTCAATCTCGAGTGCCATTTGCCTGACTGACTCGTTTTTACTCAGCATTTATCTTCGTTTTTCCTCTTGTCTCGATTCACTTTTTTAAACACTTTATTTTCATTGCACTGAATAATTTTTTCAACCCCCGGGTTCATTTTGGTGTTATTACATTTATGTAATAGCTTTGCTTGAATGGAAGGGCGGAGAGTGTTAAATGAGAGGGGAATTACGAGGTTGATGAACTAGTTCTACGTTCATTTCAATTGACAATCAAGGGAATTTATTTTTATGGTGTACGGAATGATTGGCTATTATGTGTTACTTTCTCGTCGGGTTATGATGATTGAAGTATTTTCATTCGTTTCATGACGATATATTCCTAATTTGGCTCGATTGAGGTAGTTCGCAGAGAAGTGAGGATTTATGATTATCGCAAAAGGTAAGGGAGCATCTCCCAAGATTTATTTTTACTACCCATGCAATACCCTTCGCGGATTCGCTGACACTCAAGGCACTGACGTCGAGATTTTCCACATTGCGACATCAGAATGCACTGCAATCTAAATTATTCATGTACTTGTAAGTTGATTGACATGAAAATTTCGTTTCTAAAGAATTCAAAGTTCCCTGCACCAATTGCTCGTGTCTTGATGGTTTACCTTTAACGAAAAAACGCCAGTATCAATATATTTAATTATCGAACTGATTTAATAACACGAATAATATGAAATCGTTAGGAATCGAGTGCGTAAAATATTGCCACCGGATTTGCACCTAAAAAAATCCTCCCAATTTCGCGAAACCCCCGAGATTCACCCTCGGCCAACCACCAAAGTGTTCCCCCTGTGAATACAAAATTCCACCTTCACCACTGGATTCAAAACACACACATCGCCACCACATCCTCAAGAACTTCCGCGGTTTTGATATTTCATGTTTACCAACGTGGTGAAGTTCCACGGGTAGAAAACTTTCCACCCAAAGTAAGAATGAGGATTCTCTGGAAACTCGTGCCATGTCGAAGGAAATGGAACGAAGCCGAGTATTGAGTTTAAAAAAAAAAAGAAGTATTCACAAAGATAGTGGTAGCACAACCCTTCCAGTATGTCCCCATTCGGTTTCGCTTTTCGCTTTTCAACAGTGACGTTATATATCTGTCGGCAGAAAGCCACAGCACGACTATTCCCCACGGTGAGAATACATGTGCAACGTCCAGTAGTTATGTAACTATCGTTGAAATTGAGTTGCATTGAACTGTGAATGACCTTATTCGGTGGTTCGCCCAAGGGTGTCTCGAACCATTGGTATCTTTGCACTGCAATCCAGGGTTATACGTGGAGCATAACCACCACATCCACCAATACTCTCCCTCGGTTTCTCCTCATCACTGCGGATCAAAACCCGCTGATGAGAAGTCCAATACAGATGGACATTTGAAGAATCTTTCAAGACCACCGGAAATTTGAAATAGCTGTGATGCAGCGGGACTTCCGCTCGGCATCAGCAGAAAAAATGAGGAAGAACCGATGGAAACACCGGAGTTACAGTCTTTATACAGTTATACCAGAACTTGAAGAGGGATGAAGTGGATGGAGTGGGTGGAGTGGGTGGGGATGTGAAATCGAGTAAGACGGGGGCACTGGAACTTTTTCAATTATATCTCCGGAGGATCGATGCCAGAACTCAAATTCCTAGGCTATATTCGCGGGATTATCGGCGGGATTATCCTTCGTCTCTGCAACGTACCATCTTTTCCTCGTATTCTGGGGGATAGCTCATCCAGCCTGTGCATCATGGTCGGGAGTGGAGTAAGGTGAGGGCTTGGTAGAAACTATCTGGCAGTTCTGGCATTTTGAAACATTGATACGATATTGCTGAGGATCATGCTGGAGAGGGAGTACCGAGGGCTTTATGCTGCATCGTTCAATTTCGATGCACGTTTTTGCGATACTGGGGGTATTGAGGGATCGTGCTTGAAAAATACAATTGGTTGTGCGGTTGGGGATATTGTACCGGGGATTTTTATGGTTTTTTAATTGGGTTTCATCGTCTTACGATATCTGGGGGATTCTCAGGGGGTGTATTGAGGCTGTTGAAATAAATGAATTATCAATTCAATGCGCTTTTATTTATTTTGTAGTCATGGGAAACTAGTGTTCGGGATAACGGAATATTTTTTGAAATTTTATAATGGAAGAGTACATTCACTCAATTCACTGGGAACAACAACTGATTGTGCATGTTCTAGCGGGATGGAAAATTTCATTCATCGTGGTTATTAATATTCAGAACGCGAAGTCGTGAAATTACAGAGCACCTCGCTATTTTATGCATAATTTAATATGAATATTCAGCACTTTGCGAAAAACTATTTGTTGTTCATTTTTAGAAAAAACTTGATAACTCGGGAGATCTTACCAGTGGATGAGGTAAGTCGTAGTTTTCCCTATTTTCGTGTTAATTTTTCGAGGAAAAATACCCGCAAGTTTTACCCGGAATTTTGCAAAAAAATATACTGATGGTGATATTTTCCATGCAGCCGTGAATATTCATGTGAAATTATTCAGAAAATGTGAATTTCCTCTATAATACCATAACACGCTGCTGACATTTTGTGGGTAGCATTGAATATGGATCACCTCGAGGCAGAGAATTTCCCATTTTCTATAGAAAACTATAGCATATCCATGTTGAAATATCCAAAGTCAATTCTCATCTCTTGCAGGTAAAACAACAGAATATCTCCCTAGTTTCTGTGAAGGACTCAATACAAATATTTGATGAAATCTGAAACGCATGACCTCAATTTCAGTTGGCAAATCAAACGAGAATCCTGTTGATAACAGAAATTGAAATTTTTCATAGAAATTCTCCATATTCATAGAAATATTTACTCCAAAATAATAGAAATTTCTGCAAATTTTCGGTAGAACGAAGTCAGTGTGAATTCGATACAAATTGTTTTTATTTCCGAGACATAATGGATGATAAATCCATTGCAGGGGCGTTAATCGAAAAAAAAGGAGGAGCTCGTAAATGAAATTATATTGATGGATTTTTATGGACTGGAGGTTTCAATAGTAATCGAAGTTCTATTGGCAACGGAAATATTATAAACTTGCGCGTTTGAATGACTCTAGTGTGACGTGCCCGAGTGGGTCTCATGTAGAAACGTTAAGGAGATGAAGGTGTGTGTATATTGATGTGGAAAAGAGGTAGGTGTAGAGAAGGAAAAGAGGGTGAAAATGGAGTGGATTTGAAAAGGCTTGCACACACGAGTACTGGTGAAAACGAGGCTATAGAAAACGGAACTTCGACGGGATGCAACACGGCAAACAGGCAGATTGGATTCCCGAGTCGATTTACCGGAATGCAGGAATAACAGCTGCTGGGATCTATACCCTGGGACATTTTGGATTTGCAATCTCCTCCGCGAGAAGAATACGGCAACATATATGTCAGGCCTCCTCCTCCTTCTCCTCCTCCTTCTCCTCCTCCTCCACCGTCTCAATGTACCCTCTTTTCCCACTCTGGGTTAGAGAGGATGTGTCGCCCCGGGCTGTACATCCCAAACACTTGAATCCCATTTATTTCCATCCTAGGTTTTTATTCCCCCCGCGAGGATAAAGAGGGAGTTCCATACTCCCATCCGGGACCTTGACCATCGTCCAGGATTTCCGCCGGTGGCCGATACCGAATGCGAAATGAGGGACTCCAGGCAAATCCGGAATAATTGTTTTGATAACAGCCCCATGCCATTTTTATCACTGCTATCAGATCCTTCTCGTTTTTTCTCCGATACTTTTGAATCTACTTTGGGATTAACGCTCGGGTCGGAGTTGAAGGCCTTTTCGGGATCGTTGCGTACGGTTATATTAGTAGATCGCGATAGAAGTGGAAAAAATGTGGTATTAAAGGGAAAATTTTGGCTGCTCTTTTGAATATTTTATTTATTCGAAATTCGTGTGGAGGAGATATTTTAAAATTACAGGTGCCTTTGAAAATAATCTGCTATATTGCCGAAATGATTAGCAAAAACTATCCATTGAATTTCAGTTACCAATTATCAATTGATAATATTTAAATTTTTACCATTCGATATTACTTTGTTGCCTGAAGGCTACTCAATTGCGAGTTCTATTCGGTTCTACTGGCTATCGCATTGCCAATTTTTAAATATAGCTTGTATATAAAAACCACAAAAATTTCTGTTTGCAGTGTTTCGATAAAAATTCAGCAAATAAACATGAATAAACCAGGTAGATGAAAACCTAAAATCACATGATGAATTTCACCAAAAGAAAGAACTGTACCAAGGAAAATTTTGTACTAGATTTTTTTAAAATTATTTTGTGGTGCACTAATGAAGACGATTTGAACGATGAACACCAGTCGTTTCCGTCGCCAATGTACGTCTACTGCCAATCAATTTAGCACAGAAATACGGCTGATCGAATATACTCATTGTACCCTCCTGTCTCGTCGATTTCCTTCGTGCCGAAAATCGGTGAAAAGAGAGACAGAGAAATTGAGGAGAAGAGATGAAAAGAGATAGAGAGTGAAGGTAGGAAACGATGGGTGGAGTAGCGTAACGATTATCGGGGAGTTTCATTCTCGAACCCACTTGGGCAATCGTTCTGGCACCGGGTCGTGATGGGGGTCATGTCCCGTGTCGACTCTATTTATTCCTTCGATCTTGCCACCCCCACCCGAGTAAACCCCCCGCCCTTAGATTTTTTTTTGTCCTGAGTAAGCACTTCCTATATACGTGTGACACTGTCCCATCGATGGTGCCTTTCCGCCCCCCATAATGAACATTTATCTTTTATCAAACTCCTTTAATATTCCACCCCAGTACAAACCCTCGACCATTATCCCATTATTCCATTATTCCATCCGAAATCTACAGAAATCCCATCACCCCGGCCATAAACAAATAAATAGAGCAATTTGTTTCCACTGAGTGAACCAGAAAAATGAACTTCTCCATTCCATTTGGAAAAATTAATTGCTCGAAATTCATCGGGCAAAATTTATTGGATATTCTCTCAATTAAAAAGTAGGCCAGCCAAATCAATTGTCGGTATTACTCTTTTTTTTTCTCACGGATCGTTAATGGCGTCTATTAAATCGAGTAAATGCAGAAGAAATTTAGCCTCCGGGAAAAATGCTTAAATATTCCACTCACGACATACCCACTTGGGGGTATGGAGCATCATTACCGTGGCCGGAGCCGTTAACAGCCGATAGACTCATTGCGATAAACTGCACGAGATGGGGAGTGAGGGGTTACGAATTTTCACAAGGCGAGAATGTAGGCAAGTGCTTCAACTTATGCATACACCATTGGCCACACACACCCTTACAAGTGACTCGTGAGAACGTACGTGATTCCCATCCCAAAAATTCTCAACTACAACTCTTGGAATACGTACAACAGATTTCCGGTTATTCAGGAGACACTCAAATGGTCATCCATTTCTCTTGAGTCATCTGCCCGTGAGGGACAAATTTTTACTGCTCGGAATAATTTTACAATTCCCCTTTCGTCACTCGTGGCATTTTTTCGAATGCCCACTGAGAGTTGCATCGATATTATCAGCTTTCGGAATCTTAATTCAATTCAAGTTCACATTCATCTTGAAAATTCGACAAAATCGGGTTTTCTATGTTACACATTTGACATTTCAAAGACGGAATAAATTTGGAAAATCGTGACTAGCGGATATGAGAATTGTTTGAATTTTTTATAGATTAATTATTTGGAAAAATGTTTGACTGAATTTTCATCAATTCCGAGCGAAGATGGAAAAAAAATGGAAGGAACTCAAAGCTGAGGTGACAATTGAAGTTTTGATTGAAACTTCAGGCTGGGAGTTTTGAAAATCCGTCAAGTCCCTGAATCGTAAGGTCTTCACAGAGAATCGTGCAGCAAATACAGAGTTCTTCTCGGATTTAATGACTTCATCGGACAATTTGATGAGCAGACATGAATATTAATACTCTTGATGAATGAAATATATTATTCTTGTAGAATATTCATGGCAGCTCTCATTGTTCCCGGTAAACTAACGGAATTTTATGACGATATGATGAAGAGATTTTTATTTTTCCTCAACAGTTCAGAATTCACTTGAAACCTTTTGGAGTAATTTTCCGAGTCCCCGGGGGGTTGATCTCTGATTTTTGAGCTGGGAAGGTGACTGTGGTTTTAATTCGATGTTTTCCTCAATTCTAGGGTTTCTTCCACCACCCACAGGAAAAATTCAATTTGAAAGAAAAGTCTCCCCCTCTGTCTCCCCCTTAAAAAATCATCTCCGATTAAATTGAACATTCAATCAAATCGGATTCAACCGAAATAGTGAGAAAAAAAAACTTCGAAAAGCCCTTCTCACTCACCAAGAATTATTTTCTTCAACAAAAATATTTGAATTCGTAAAAAAAAACCCGACGCTCTTTCACGCCCCGCAAAAAACATGATCCTGAATAATTATTCAGGCATTCACCGGAATCGGTAACAAACGAAAAATGGCCAATGAAAAAAAAAGCCCATTCCCCATGACCGAATCCAAATAATTGTTCATCCACTTACTTGCAAAATACGCGAGCATGGCAGTGAGTGCAACAACAAGTAGTATCAATCCAACCGAGAAGCACTTCCACGAGCATCGATGCTGGCAGCGTTTATCAATGTGAAAACGTGATGGTGAATAGGGTGAATAATGTGGTACAACAGCGGCACGCAGTGGAAAACCCGGCATAACCAATGGCTGACCCTGAGCCCCATTGCCGGCATTGCCACCATTGCCAGTACCCATGCCAGTACCCAACGAGCCAACGGTCACCTGCTGTTGCGGAGGTGGTAGCCTGCAAAAAACAAAAAAAAATACATCAAACAGAACAAACGATTATTGTATTGCATTACCAAATGTACCATGCCGCCATTCTATTTTATTTCGTGTTATTCTCCCTGGCTACTCTTTTGTCCAGCCTGTCTGTTTATTTATCTTCATTCACCCCCTTCTCTCAATTTTTATTCCTCTTTCAATTCCAGCTAATGCGATGAATAAATTTCCCCTGGGTGGTCATCGCATTTTGATCGACGCCAAAATATTCAACTCAATGTTTACGCAAAATATTTCAGTATAATCAATTCACGTAATTAATAATTAATATCGCAAAATGAAATATGATAAGAAAATTATTATAATTCATTACCGTCGCATTCGTTGCTAAATGGAAAATTGTGTTTCGAAATGTTCAATTTGTTTCCATGGACCATTTAGCGTCCACCTCCCCGGGTTAAAATACTCAATTCGAGTATATATTTCATGGGTGTATATATATTATATACTCGGTTTATGTTGGTTGGATAATAAAGCATGCCCTGGACATATCGTGGGGTTTTTAACATTGTCAAGATGAGATATAACAAAAATACGGGAGTAAAGGAGTGGGTGAGCCTGAGGGGGTGGAAAGAGGTGGAAGGTGATAGAAGGGGATGAAAGGGGGTGGGTTATCTTGTTTATACCGACGGACTTTGTGTATGCCGTGTTGGCTTTTGTGGTGGGATGCAGAGGTGAATAGCGAAAAAGACAAGATCAAGAAGTGTAAAAATACCGCGGCAGTTTCTTATAAATCTTTGAAAAGAGGGAGAGAGGATGAGTTTGCGTCAAACCCGTGTCAACATTTTTATCTCGACGTATACGAGCCAAAATACAGACTCACGATATATTCATATGTAGTATCTTGCACTGGAAACCGCAGTGAATCTATTGATGCTGTGGTCTCTTCATTCCACCGTGAAAGAAGACATTTAATATGGCCCCAAGCCGGAGTAAATATAATTTTCTGATAATCGGATGAACTCAATGAATAGTATTAACCCTGTGGGAGACTACAATGGGACTCCTTTGGAAGGTACATTGACTACAGTCTACTTTTGAGAATGAAATTCCATAAGAATGAGGGAATCGTTGGGAGGGAGAGAGAGGATCTGAGTGGGATCTATTCCCACTGGTATTTCCTCTGTTGCTGGAAGCTGAAGAAATTGCGGGAAAAGAAGGAATTCGAGGGGAGAGAGCGCCCGTTACAGAGCTAACAATGCTTTCGGTCAATATTGAATTTTCCCGCTTTCAAAACCATAATAACTGGAGACCCATATGGCACACATCCTCGTCGACATACATGCATTTCGGTGATTGTTACATTTTTTTTTTTGCCTCCATCGATAAAAACGGAGTGGTCTGATCGGATGAATTGAAAACCACTTGATTAACCGTAATGCTAAATTGTTGGGGTCCTTTTGGGGGCATTTTTAGAGGTTTTTTTAGTGGTTTTGATGGAAAGTCGGATGTGGGAGTTCGAGATGGATATGGTAATATTGTTTTTGGCAGGGATCCGAATAGCCATAACGAGAGATAACGGTGGGATGAGAAAGCTCGGAGCTCTCACAAACGACTGAACCATACGACAAATAACTTTTTATCTCTCTGCTCTCACCCCTTTGGCCGCGTGTGTCATTAAGTTAAGAACAGAAACTGTGGCGGGAATTAATTTACCAAAACGATTGGACACGGCAGGATGGGGAGCGGAGAGCTTCCGCTGGTCGGAGAAGGTGCCTGCGGTGTAAAATGGCTAAAGCACTGAAAAAGTTTAATAGCGAAATAATGGTAGGTACATTTTCCACCGTCTCGGTTGTGTTTTTGTTCTGTCCCCTTGTGCTCTTTACCTTCTGAAATGCTGGAGAATCGCCAGTGATATACCTCATGGCATGATATCACGAACTGTGGGAAATATACGCTGCAATCATGCGCCTGTTATTTCAATTTTTCTTGTTTCAGAAAACCCACGGAAATGGAATCTCCAAAGTTAAATGAGGGTGAGGTCGAGTGATACTTGATTTTGCGCACTTTATTTTGAGAGGAGTGAGAGATGAGTGTAAAAGCCTTTGAGATGTTTCCGGGTGAATTAACATTGTGCTCGGAGGAGAAATTCCGAATATTACGGAAATTATCTGCTGATTTTTTTGGCTCGAATAGATTAATTTTGCTGAATGAGTAGAATTATGTCAATCTTCGTGGAACGACGTTCGCTCTTAATTTTAGTAAGAGATAGAAAATTTTTTAAATTAAATTAATTTTATCTTGAAAGCAAGTGTCCGAAGGGGCTGAAACTCAATGAAATATTTAATTCTTCCCTTCGATTTGCCTCTGAACATGAAAATTCCGACTCACGTTGAGGAGTTGAGTCTCAAACTAAAATTTTTCCTTCATTTCCGGCAATTTTTATAGAATTTTTTTCTTTACACACGCAGACAGAAATTTCATGAGCTGATCCACCCCTCAAAAAATGATATGGATAAATAAATATGTTAATTCAATAGAATATATTTCCAACGAATATCATCCCTCTCACGTGTGGCATCATAACTATACCCGGTATTAATAATTCATAGTAAATACACGCACGCTGTAATATACATTCCACGATTGTGTGGTCTCCACCCTCACCTCCTGGAATTGTCCGGATCGATAAAAATATGCATGAGAATTATAACGGAGAGAAAAAAGAATGGGTAAGAGGAGAGGATGTACGATATTAAAACCCACCCATTGATAAATGGGCGCGTCGATGAGGCGCAGAATGAGAAAGAGAAAACAAGACCGAGAGAGAGAGGGCTAAATAAACACGGGGCATTAGTAATCTATGAGGCGTGCAACGAGTGTTGCACACCTTCGTTTAATCCAGTCAAATTTCATATACATGATTACCAACGGCTGAATAAAACAGCAATGCCAAACGAATAAAGAGATCATAAAAATAGTAACGAAAATCAGGTCAAGAGTTGAGCTCTGTAGGCTTTGTAAATTGATTACAATGGGGTAATTACGGTGAAATCGGGGTGTACATGTGGGGAGTAATCGATAATTTGAAATTAGGTTGACCCCGGGATTGGGCAGGATTTAGTGGGGCTCGACCCTGTGGGTTGAGGACATCGACATTTCGAGTCACGAGTTGCCGAGAAACTGTAGACTACGTACGGCACGATAGGTACAGAACAGGGATGAAGCAGGTGGTGTCTTGTCTCGTATCACCAGAGGTCTTTACTCAGTTGACTTCGGAGTCACGTATTCCTTCCGCTGGCATTTGGTGTAAGCCACGTAGTGCCGAGGCCCCAACAATTTCCAACCGTGGAATTGGACCGCGATGAGTATGCCGCAGTGCAAGTAATCATTTTCCCAAATGAGGATACAATGGGTGAATCGGTGGAATTTAAGCACTGATTCAACCACTGCCATAATCATTTCTGGAGTCAGGCGATTTTAATTAGAATTTTATCTTCAGGTATGATGCGTTGATGGAATACCTACTGGGAATTCGATCCTGGGGTACGTGTGTTGTCAATACGTCAAGGACAAAGTGAGTGCATAATTGGACGTTGATAAATACTGAGCTAGAGTGGTCTACAGTGCCAACCAGAAGCGTGAATATCGTCTGAGTGGAAGATTGGACCACTCTGGTGTGCGCTGGCTCGATCCTATCGTGTGATCCAATTACTCGAGTTCGGGGCGAATGTACAACGCAATACTCCAGCTCCAGTCCCCGGGGCTCAGGATTATAGGGGACTTTCCATCGGCCATTGACGAGTCCAGTTGTGTATGTCGATGAGAAATCTCATTTGGTGGCTTTTTCGAGGGCCACGCACTATTCTATGGTGGTGGCTAAAAAATATTGTCACAATTGGGGAAATATTGGTTGAGATTTGTTACATCAACTCAGATAAATAATACAGAACTTATTGCTTAAAAACGGATTACGCCTTGGAGAGATTATAATGAACTTTTGACTGATGGACTAGATTGAGTTTGTCAATTGAATTGTCGGGTATAATTGAGCCAACCAATTCCAAGAACTGAAATCAGTTGTCCTCCGGCTAACAGATGAAATTTCATTAGTTACCATGCAGCGCTCCATCGCTAGTTTTCCACTCGCCTGATCGTCCCAGACGATTACAGACAGTGGAAAAGTACGAGACAAGAATGTTAATAAAAATTCAATGACGACACGTAGAAATACCTCGCTGAAAAAGCAGAGAGAGGTATAAAGAGTAAAGCAGCAGAGGCAAAATGTAATAGGAGAGGACATCACAGGAGACATCCACCAGAAACCTGAAATCGAATCTCGATGCCAAGGGACAAGTGAGGATGAAAAATTACCAACTACCCTGACTTTGCTCTCGCACTTTCGCATCAGTATCAACCGAGAAACCATAAATTATCCTCATCTTTCCCGCATCTCTCGCCCCCACACTTTACCCACATTTATCGCCTCACAAAAAAAGGAACAATTAATCAGAATATTTTAATATTAATCACCAGCTCCCCAGTGTTTATAACACCGCAGTATCAACGGTGATTTTGTGACACTGATATCATCGTATCACGTACAAGTAATTTAGCAAACCATTAACCAGGCTCGATCGTGAAAGGTTGTAATTGCATTCACGAATACCTTGAGGCATGAGTAGTCGAGGATGACGCTAGGTGTCGACGGGAAGATATTAATTGCAATGATTCGAGGAGAAACCGCCTGAAGGGCTTTCATCAACATTCATTCTGAAATGGTGCGCGTCTGCAGGAAAATGAGGTCGAGGAGGGTTACACTCTTGTTCGGTTATTGGTGGGGGGTTGCTCATAAAATTGGAGCTTCTCGAGACGATGCAACTCTCGGTAAAGTGGGTCTCCAGGAGAGCCGTAACGTCAGTAACGCACAAAAAGAGGAGAAAATGAGAGGGCGTTGTAAAATGTGACACTGCACAGCTGCAACATGATTCTCGTGTGCTCCTCTCTCCTCATCCTCACTCA